TTGAGATCACTGTCTAGCAGTTACAGATTTCTCCTTCAACTCTTTAACAAGTTTGCATATGCGTTTTGTGGCTTTTCAAAACTAAGAATGTATAATGTACCTGTGCATATAACAGGTACATCTCTAAAGCCACAGCCTGTCATTGCAGGAAGCCATAGAGCAGGACTGTTCCTGCATACGCACTTTCTGTCCCACAGCAAAAGGGTCAGGTTATTACTTTGCAGACTCCCTTTACAATCTTGCACGTCCGGCGCTGAATTAAGCTGTCAGAGTTGGGCTGCGGATGTTAGAAAAATCACACAAGAGGCTGGGGATGTTAGAAAGATCACACAAGAGTTTTGCATTGAGATTTGTCTGCAATCTAGATTGATATATGCAAAGGAAAATGTAAATTTGAGAAACAAGAGCATGCCAGAAAGTAATTATTTGACTTAACACGTGTTTTGCAGTCCTCACCTAGTTTCCTTCTATTGATAGAACAGAATTACAGGAGCCAGTGTCTCACCATCCTCACAGTGAAGAATTTCTGCCTCATATCTTAATCTAAACCTGCCCTCTTTCAGATTAACACCATTAACCCTCGTCCCATCCCTACAACCCCTGATATTCCCCACCTTTCCTGTACCCCCTTTAAGTACTGGAAGGCTGCTCTAAGGTCTCCCCAGAGCCTTTTCTTAAGGCTGAACAACTCTCTCAGCCTGTCCTCATAGGGGAGGTGCTCCAGCCTCTGGACCTGCTTGAGCAGGTCCATGTCCCTCTGATGTTGGGGGCCCCAGAGCTGGACACAGCACTGCAGGTGGGGTCTCATGAGAGCAGAGTAGAGAGAGAGAATCCCCTCCCTCGACCTGCTGGCCGCATTTCTCTTAATGCAGCCCAGGACATGGTTGGCTTTCTGGGCTGCAAGTGCCCATTGCTGACTCACAGTCAGTTTTCCATCCACTACTAGCCCCAAGTCCTTCTCCACAGGGCTTCTCTCAATCCACTCCTTGCCCAGCATGTGTTTGGGCTTGGGAATTAATTGTTACATGCTCTTGACAGCTCAAGTTTAGCTTTTGTAACTGCATCGGTTTTGTTGTAGTTAGGACTTATTTTCTCAACGTATTAGCTTCTTCTGAATGCTTTGTTTATGAGATAACAGTTGACTGGGACCCAAAGACCTTGAAGATCCTGGGAAGCTTCACAGAATAAAGCATGTTATGATAACAGCTGGCTAGAGATAGTGGAATGGTTCCTTGCTCCAGCTGATTTGAAAGAACAGCATCAGAGATCCTGAGCCTTCTTTTAATCACACTCTCAGCAGGGTACTGCTGGAGTGTTGACTGCTCACTCTCCCTCTCAGTGGCTGTAGCATGTCACATGTAGTGTAATTGGCTTTGGAAGGAGAGTACTTGCTGTTGGGTGCTATGATGGTGTTCTTGCAAAATTCAGTATCTCTTAACAGTAAACAGCTATTGCTAGTCTTTCACCAGAGTTCAGTGTGCTAAAAGGAACCCATCTTTCCCCTGGAGAGTTAAAAGTTCAGGCTTCTGTCAAATACCAGTTAATTCTCTCTGAATTCAGCTCTTATTTAGAAGAAAACTTGGTGGGTTTTTTTGTTTTGTTTTGTTTTATTTTATGTAGAAGAGTCTGAAGCTCTCAGATGTTTAAAGTGTTTATGGCAGTCCTAAAACAAAGTATCCAGATGTCAGGGGAGAAACCTATATGGCCAATAAAAATTCAGATTCGATGGGATGTGATTTTAAACCCTTCATAAAATATATTGTTCCCATTGTGACAGCAAGCAAGTTTGCACTTTTTAGCGAATTTAATGGAAACATGGGAGTGTAGTCTAATCCTTTTTTTTTTTTAATTACTCCAAAGCAGATCTAACTGACAAAGAGATTACATATACTCATCTGTCCTGACAGACTCTTCACATTTAGAACACATAAAAGTGAGGTAGCATAAATAAAAAGAAGGATTTGGCATCCATATATGTGTGTTGGGAATATAAACGTAGGATGGGTACAAAGCACCTATAATGTAATTTTAATAGGAATCATATATTCTAAAGAGGTAGGTATTTCACTTATTTTTCTGCTGCCTTCTCCTTGAGGATTACAGCTTTTTTTTGTGTGTGCTGGAATAACTCTTCAAGGCTGATGGGAGAAGCTTAGAATTTTAATGAAATCACGTGCTTATAAATGCAACATATGAAATGGAAGGCAGACTACATTTTAAATACCTCAGCATTAGGAGAAAAAATTCAAATATGTTGAACTAGATAGAGTTAAGTGTATTCATCTGAAGAGCAATGTAGATAAGACCTCCAAATTACATTTTTTATTTTAGGTTAAAATGGAAACAGTAGAGTGTCTTGTTCTTCATTACTGAAAGAAAAAGGCTAGTTTGGGGACTGTACTCATGAATTGTATGAATGTGTTGACACTTTTGTTGGTCTAAGCATTGATGTGTGTACATGCTGGTTTTATTACCTTTCCTTAACAGTCCTTTGCTGTCTCTGACCAATAACAGAAGACATGGTGCACTGAATAGAGTTGCCCTGGGTCCTTGATCTCACCCATGAGGCATCATTTGGAGTGTTCTGCATTATTTATTACTACTAAAGTATTTTCATTTAAACTGACATCTTAAATGCTAACCTTGCCTGGCAGATAATGAAATTCTTGTTTCTTTTCCAAGGAAGCTGGCATAAAAGAAGCCAACTGTGAGAGGTCACAGGAATTTGTACTGCCTGTCTCCACAATTACTAACAAGAAGGCACTATACGATACCATAGGATGGAGGTCGCCTTGGTTTCTGTTAATGGCAGTTGTCAGACAGGTGAGGAACACTCAGGTGATTCCAAACAAGCCTCAGAAGGGGTGGGCTGCAAAGCCAGCCTGCAACTGGAGGGGGAGGAAGATTACTCACCATCATCTAGTCCTGGGTGTATCCTGCTAGACCTTCAGTCTGATAAGAAATCCATACAGAACTGCAGTGCAAAGAGGAGGAGACCTTTGAAACTTACTAGCAGAAGCATAATTCAACCAACCCACCAACTTTGACCTGCAGTGTGAACATGAATGTTTCTCCCCTGGACACTGAGAAACCTCAAGAAAGGATAAGTGAGGATGATGAAAGCAGCATTCTTATTGATGCTTTTGAGGAGGAGGAGGAGACAGAGGATCTAGAGCATCTGGAAATGCTTTGGTCATTTCCTCCATGACCCCTATGAGGAGGACCACTGTTTGCTGGTGTTAGGCCATTCCTTGGCAGCTGCAAGAGGAAATGCTGCCATTGTAGCAGGTTGAAGTCAAAAGACATGTGCAGTTGTTGGATGTGATCAGGACTAGCTGGACTCATCTGGGCATCTATACTTGTAAGACTGACATGTTAAATTAGAGCTGTTGTGCACAGTGTTCTCTAAATTACAGTGTTGCTGTCTAGGTTATCACCACACTCAGGGGCTGGTTTTACAAAGATGTCACTGTTAGGCTGCACAGCTGTCGTGGTGTAACCCCAGCCAGCTGCTAAGCACCACACATGGGGAGGAGCATCGAGGAAAAAAAAAAGTAAAACTTGTGGCTTGAGATAAGAACAGTTTAATAACGAAAATATAATAATAACAGTAACAATAATAAAAGATAATAACTGTAATGAAAAGGAATATAACAAAAAGAAGAGAGAAATAAAACTCTTAAGAAAAGCCAAGTGATGCACAGTGCAGTTGCTTATCACCCACTGGACCCATGCCTCAGCAGCAATCTGCCCTCCCCCAGCCAACTCCCCCCAGCTGTATATGCTGAGCATGACGCCGCATGGTGTGGGATACCCCTGGGTTGGGGTCAGCTGTCCCAACTCTGTCCCCTCCTGACTTCTTGTGCACCCCCAGCCTGCTTGCTGGTGGGGTGGTGAGAGGCAGAAGAGGCCTCAGCTCTGTGTAAACACTGCTCAGCAATAACAAAAACATCCCTGTGTTACCAACACTGTTTTCCCACTAAATCGAAAACTGTACCAGGTACTAGGAAGAAAATTATTGCAACCAAAACCAGGACAACCCTCTTGGCCAGAACAACTCCTCCATCTCTGCTCTCCATACATCCTCTCATGTTAATCTATTAGTTGTAATGAACCATGATTTGTTTTTTTAAAGAACACCCATTCATCATCTGCACCCCACACAAACATGCTTGGCTGTGGAGGTACTGGTGCCGTGTGTGCTTATATATTACTAGAGTTTTTCTTATGAGAACTGATGAACAAGGAGAGGGTTGTGTGCTTCTCTTCCATTAGGGAGGTGGAAGGGGTACTTGATTTCGTGCGTCTTGGGTCTAGGTGGAAGAAAGCCTGTACCTTGCTCGGCTACTGCATTGCAGTAAGAAACGTCTAAGAATTTCAAATTCAGAAAGATTATTAAAAAAATGCTGAAAATCATCTGAGGGTTTTTTCCTAGTTTATGAGAGTTGGAGTGATGATTCTTTCTCTGCAAGGTTCACCATACTAAGCAGCATGTGGGTTTCTCATGGATTCAAGGACTGTCATTAAAGGAATGTTTCTAACTTATTTTCTAACTGCCTAATCTGAAGAAACTGAACTGCTGCTTACTCTGCTCTCAGAAGCAGCTTGCTTTTCTGTGTAAAAGGAGTAGGTACAATTCTTTTCCTCACCCTCAACTCCCAGCAGAATAGTTTCTGGTTTCATGTTTATTTTTAGAAAGATCTGTGAGATCACAAAAATGTAGAACTTGCAGCATTCTTATATACCATATTTGCATGCTAGTAATGTACACTCTTGTTCATTTCAGTTCCATACTTGCTATTAATTGTAGAAGCCCATTTCCAAAACCTGTAGGAGTTTTGTTAAGAAAAGACAGCAAGACAGCTGTCCAGTGTGCAATGTAACTACAGTGTGAAAATCAGGAGCAATCTCTGTGAGCTTACACAGTGATGTTGGAGAGCAGTTTAGACTGTAGGAAGCACAGAACTGGTCAGGATGATAATGGGGGGACAGATGCAGAGCTCTGAGGGGACTGGGTCAGGGACTTGGGTTGTAGTTGAACAGAAGATGTTTGGAACTTCCCAGCGCTGCTCCTGGGGGGGTTGGACCTTGGATGAGTCCTGTTGAACGGTTATGTTAATGATGGGAATGTGGAAATGAACATGTGGGAATGAAATGTGCCCACAGGGAGTTTGAACGAGAGGGAGGGCTGCAGAGCCATGGAAGAATGAGATGTCTTCCAGAAACGGTGGTAGAGAAATGGTGAAAATTTCTGCTCCAAATTGGTGGATTATCAGTTATAAGGGATGGAAAAAAGGAGGTGGAGGTGGCCTATGGGCTGTGACTGTAGCGTGGCTTTGGAAAAGGCAAATGGGCTCTGAGGACAAGTCGAGTAAGGGACTTCCACTAGGAAGCACCTAGTGCTGCTGTGAAAGGCCCTGGTGAGACTTTGCTGAAGATACTGTGTGCAGTTCTGGGCGCTCAGGGTGAAAAAATACTCAAGTTGGAAGTGAGACACCGGAGTGGGGGGCATGGACAGAGACTTCCTTACAAGACCAGAGCCTGTTTCGTCTGACCAAGCCAAGCTTGGAAGTGAATCCAACCACCGCCAAACTTCTGCGGGAAGACGCGCGGTTGTTGCCGGGGTGGGGACACACACACAGAGACAACAGCACCCCGACAACTGCCGCAGGGCGGAGGGGGGGCGCAGGCTCTGGTCCCCCGGAGCCCCGCGGGGTCGGGAGCGCCTTTGGCAGGAGCGGGCGGGAAGGGCACCCCCGCTCGCTTACAGCCAACGCTCGACCCAC